CAGATTGTACTCAGGAATTCTCACTCTTCCCCATCCATCCAGGCCTAGGGAGCTTTGAATGAATATGATTGCCAGATTGGTTCAGGATATATGTCACCTTTTGATCTATGCTAATTGGACTAGGACCTGTTCAAATGGCCATTTTATTTTACAAAATCAGATATCATTTCCAGAAGTTTAGATTTCTGACTGGTTGATCTACACTTTTCTTGACCTAATTGGACAAGGCACCTCATTAAACCATTTGGTGAATGTCTTGTTCTTTTAGTTTTACATCTTAATGAATAGTCAGATATAGAAAATACTAAACATCATGATGCTTCAAGATCTTAGTGCAGAGTAATAAAATATCTCAGGGTAATGCAAACATCACAGAGTAACAGAACATCTCTGAGCATCATAGGGTTACATTTCCAGGCATCCACACAGTAAGTGAAGCAAAGAAAGCTTTAAATATCCCAAGCTTGCCAAAGCATTATATAAAAATACAGTTAGTTTTAAGAATATAATCTTTGTCTTTTCGATATGGATTTTAAATTATTCTACATCTATACATAATAGTAACCAAGTGGTTGACTTTATTGTTGGAGACGTAAGGGTAGAAAAGCTTATGTTTTCTTTAGAGATTACTATATTTTTCAAAACAATGCAAAATAGTTTTAGAAACAGTAAATATACCATGTAAAGTCAAACCCCAAAATAATGGTTTTTTTTTTTTTTTTAGAAACAGGTCAAAACAATGTAAAAACCTAAAACAGTTTATTTTAAAAGCTGGTTAATAAATCATGCAAAAGTTATCAAAATTCAAAAACTGGAGCTAGGTTGCAGGCCTGGGGAAAGCAGAGAAAAGCTCATAGCTCTGCAGGGCCAAGGATAGCCAAGTGGCTGGCCATGATGGAGCCACCTGTAGGAATTTTCAGAGAGAAGGAACCAGAGCTGGCCAGTGGCTTGCAGGCCCTGCCTTGTCTAGAGAATGAAGGGATGGGGGCAGGAGTGAAAAATTTTGCTGGCAATTCCTGTCTGCCTTTGTGTGTGACTGGGAAAGGGAAGGAGAAAGATAGAAGGGTTTTAAGTTCAGGTATTTATCCTTCAGTTTGAGGAAAGAAATTCAATATATTTGAGGGAAATCTACAAATACTAAATGTATGATTCCAATAAGAAGAGTAAGATTCAAGAGGCTTTCAAATGTGTCTACTAAAATGACAACCAAACATTTAGTCAGCATAACTGTTTCTCAGTCCCTTTCTCCACACACTTCTGCCTACGCCAACCCCGAAAGGATCTCGCTATGTAACAAGGGATAATCTGGAATTCATGATCTCCTGCCACAGCTTTCTAGTGCTGATTACAGACTTCTGTCACCTTCCCTGACACTAGCAGTCATTTTAATACTAATCAATAATGAATAAACTCTGCCAGATGATAGGATACAGAACAGAATGTTCAGATGTCAAGTTCATTGTTTGCAAAATAAAATGTGGGAAAGGAGATTCAATCTGCATCTGGAAAGACTGACATTAGATGAAAAATTGACTCTCAATTTATGATTTATAGAGCAGAGCACTACCCTGAAGGGTTAGTGGTCTCCCAGATGCCATTTCTAAACGGAAGAATCACTGATATATGAATAGATATGTAAAAAGATTACCTACAGTTTAAACAGTGCCACCAGAGACTGATTTTTCACAACTGCTGCTCAAAGTCACAGACAGGAACATGCAGAGGAAGATGACAGTCACTGGTAAACACCCATTGACCTCATATTCCAAGGAGTATTTTGGAGAGAGGAGAACACTTGGTTGATTCCATCAAATGGTGGATCATGAGTGATGTCTGATTTCTCTCATATCAGAAAGATCGCTGCAAATCTCTAGCCTCTCTCAACTTATACGCTGTGTATTTTAATATTGTCCTTTAAATTTAAAACCACTTTTTCCTTTCTTTCCAATGGTTTGTGTTGATGTTTGTTTAGTGAATAGTCAGCAAGAATTTCATGACTACAACTGAAGTCAAATTATAGAAACAGAAAATAAAATAGAAATTCTTTGGGGTTGGAGAGATATCTCAGAAATTAAGAGCACCAGCTGCTCCTGCAGAGGACCTGGGTTTGATTTCCAGTGCCCACATGTCAGTTAGCAACTCTCCGTAACTTCAGTTTCAGGAGAGCCACTGCACAACTGAAATTTCGTACCTGCAGGCAAAACACTGATTCACATAAAATAGAAATAAATAAAGTAAAAAAGAAGAAAAGATATCTCTATATACTACATGATGCTGAAGGCAAAAACAATTAGACAACGAATTTCACAGATATTTAAGAATTTGTTTGCAACAATGATTTTTTCTTTGGTTTCCATCACAAGCCCATTAAAAGCAAATATAGTTGAACAGTCAATTGCATGACTGATTATGATCATAGACTCCATCATAAAGAAAAGAATCTCACTGTGATGCCTACACATTTGCTAAGAGGGCATCTGATATGACATGTCCACAGGGAGCCATATTTCAAGTTCAAAAACCCCATTTTCTGTAAGGGAAATCCATGAGCTACTAAAGTACAGTGTACTATAAAAGGTCACTCACCCAGTGATCAAAGAACTGTAACCTAAACCCTCACTTTATTCATGTTGGCAGCTTTAAAATAGAGTAATGGGATTTGCCTATGAATAGTTAATAGTGATTTTTATGGCACAGAATATTTTTTTCTTCTGACAGCAGCACTGACTTGATCACCTTTTCATCTTCCTGTAACAACTGATTTCCCAGTAAAACTGAGCCACACACATGCGAGCTTCACGTTTGGACTCCAACGTCAAGGGCACAGGTGAAAAATTACATGAATTGAACATTGATGAAATAAGTGATGTTGGATACATAGACAATTTCTGTAATGTTTTACTCCTGCATTTCATCCTTTTATTTTCAAACTGGTCCACTATTTCCATTCAGAAAATGGTGGTGACAAATGTAACCATGGTGAGTGGCTTCCTCCTCCTGGGGTTCTCTGACAACTGGGACCTGCAGATCCTATACGCTTTGCTCTTCTTGGTGATGTACCTGTTGGGCTTGGCAGGTAACTTCATCATCATCACCATCACAACCCTGGACCCGCAGCTCCAATCTCCAATGTATTACTTCCTGAAGCACCTTTCCCTTCTTGACCTCTCCTCCTTGTCTGTCACTGTCCCTCAGTCTATCCACAGTTCCCTGACTGGCAATGGATACATTTCCTATGATCAGTGTGTGCTGCAGGTTTTCTTCTTTGTATCATTGGCCTGTGCCGAGGTGGCCATTCTCACAGTGATGTCCTATGACCGCTATGTGGCCATCTGCCTCCCACTGCACTATGAGGTCATCATGGGACCCAGAAAGTGCAGGTGGACTGTGAAAGCTGTGTGGATAAGTGGAGGCATCCCAGGAACCTTGTACACAGCAACTACATTCTCTATGAGATTCTGCAGGGCCAAAATAATCCACCAGTTCTTCTGTGATGTCCCCCAGTTGCTCAAGCTCTCCTGCTCCAATGATTACCTTAGAGTGATTGGAGTCATTGCCTTCATTGCTGCGGTGGCATTTGTCTGCTTCATGGCCATCACCCTCTCCTATGTCCAGATATTCTCCACAGTTCTCAGAATGCCCTCTGCTGAAGGTCGGTCTAAGGTCTTCTCCACCTGCCTGCCCCACTTATTTGTTTTCTTGTTTTTCATGTTCACAAGTGCCTGTGCATACCTCAATCCAGCATTAGACTCTCCAACTGGATTAGATCTTGTCCTATCTATCTTTTATACACTAATACCCCCAATACTCAACCCCATTATCTATAGTCTGAGGAATGAAGCCATGAAAGGGGCATTAAGGAAGTTACTGTTGAGTAGAAAATTCACAGGGCAAAAAATAATATTTATCCTGTTATAAGTTGCTGCACATATTATTCTCAAGGAAGGTTTTTCTTTGCCATTAGAACCTTTCAATTTGTCATGTTATTAAAAAATAAAACTTAAAAAAATAATGTATACTAAAACCCATTGTCATTATAGAAATTCTTCCCTGGATTTGTTTACCAAATCAGTAAAACCAGTTTTGTCCTTTCAAACTAAGGGAAGATAAACAGTTCTAACCTAGTAATGTATTCTTAGTATAAATTAACTCTCCCAATACATATGCAAACAAGTACATGCTTAGAAACACCATCAACCATAGCAGATGTCTTGAAAATCTGTGCATGGGCAATATTCCAAGCAAAAACAAATATCATTTACCTATGATTTCCCTCACTGATCATACCTTAATTTTTAGCTTAACCATTTAGTTTGAAATGACTATTTCAGTTTTTGCTTCTCTATACACAAATTTTGTTTATTAGCCCAAATTCACAAACCATTAATATGCATATCTGCATAGTTTACCTATAATAACTATCTTGAATTCACAGTGTTTGGTGTAGCTCTGGTTTTATATGTAAACCCTACCCCATGTCAGAACCTGGAAGACGGTCTTGGGGGAGTTGCTGTATCTCTTTGTCCTTCTTTGTACCCACATTGAATAAATCTCCGTTTTCTGCTTTACACTGCCATGCCCTGCACAGCACAAAGCTGATCTCTGAGTGGAGGACATCAGGATTGAAGAGACAATCACGCTTTTAGTGTAGCAGAAAAAGCCTTTATTTCTGCACAGCACGAAGCTGATCTCTGAGCAGAGGACATCAGGATTGAAGAGACAATCACGCTTTTAGTGTAGCAAAAGAAGCCTTTATTTCTCAGCCCCAGGTTGCTTTTATACCCTATCCCAGAAGGCAGCTGACCCAACTGGGGCGGGGGAGCCATTGCATGACCGCAGGGTCAGTGCCAGGTCATGGTGTTCTCAGTACCTGATACCGGAAAATGAGCTGATAAACAACTCTGAGACTGAGGAACCACGAGGCCCAAAAGGTCACTGCGGGGAAGTTGCAGAGGGAGGCCAGGACAGCATGTCCCAACATTACACTATGAATCTGACTCCTTTAATTGGCCTGTTGAGGCTTGGTGGTGGAACCTGAATTATTGGGGCACAGACTTGTCCCATAAGTGCAGTAACAATGTGGTGACCAAGATGGGGAACAGGCACATTTAGGGGTGTCTGTTGACTGCCACAGGTTGACCCTGGGTAGAGAGAAAGGATGGAAGTTCCTGGCAGTTGCTGGAGTAATGTCACTCCAGGTAGAGCTTCCTGTCTTCCCCCTTTAGGCATTAGTCATTTTTACCTCTGTTTGGTGAATCAGGAAAAGAAGTATTTGTCTTTGTTTTGGATTCTCCAGAAAGTCTGGTCTTTGTGATTTTCTTCCCAATTTCGTTCTCCTCAGGCTTTGTTTTCCTGTTTCTTTGGGCTCTTTTGAACAAGTGGGTTTCCTTTCAACCATTTGAGGTGGCTTCCATTTAGTGCCTGGCTTTGTCTTTGGGTGTTCTTCTATCTAATTCTTTGGGCTATTATTTTAAAGGTTAGAAACACAGTAGCCTCAGTGGAGGAGAGAGAGAGTTTTCAGAGGCAGAGTGAACCTGAACGCATCTCAGGGACTACAGATGGGGGCACTGCTCTACCACTCCTGCAGTCAATGACCTCAGGGAGTCATGGTTAAGTCTCCTCTGTTTAGAGCTTGCTGTTTTCCTTCAGAGACCTGTGTGCTTTAGGAACTATGGCTTGGTTCCTTGAAGCAATGAGGTCTGGATTTCTAGTGCAACCAATGCCATAAAGGGACAAGGCCCATCATTTAACCATAATGCTGTTTGTAGGACAGGCCTTGTTGATTTGGAAGCACATTTGAGCAAATTTGGATTTTTGTTGGGCACCGGCCATGTGACAGGAAAGTTTGGGGCTCTACTGGACTTTTGGGGTTTTGTCAAATCATTTGAGAAAGAGAAACAAGGGTGAGATCTGCTGTGATTTATGTAGCTATGAAAACATGAATACTTCTTTTCATTTGATTTCTTCAATTTGACATACAAAATACTTTATCTGGCATGTATTTTTACAGCTAGAGAAACACAAAATGGAAAAATGAGGTAAATACAGAAAACGAAAAGAATGATACTAATCAGCTGCTTTGGGAGAATACAGTAACTACTATAACATGAAAAAGAAAATTTGATTTAGAAACAAACATAAACACCATCTCATTTACAAAGGGCTTATAGAATTAAAAAGTAACCCATTAAATAGACTTTTTGTTTCATTGTATTTAAATGTTATTTTGATGGTTTATGCTAATAGTTAATGTTACAATATGTATTTAAATAATTGATAATAGTTTATTAGAATAGATAGCTATATTTAATGTCTACTAGCTAGTGTTAGCTTATGTTTTAAACACACTCTGACATTATATATATTTATGATTATATGTATTTATAAGGCCATATGTTAACACAAATTAGTAGATATAACAAAAGTATATAATGAATTTATCAAACTTTTCCAGTTTTTTAAAATATTTGTTTTTATTTTATGTGTATGAGTGTATTGCCTGCATGTATGTGAGTGCACCCTTGTCATGCAATGCCACGGAGGTCAGAAGAGGGCTTCGGATTTCCCTGGAACTGGAGTTAAGGACGGTTCATAGCCACTATGTTGGTTCTGGGAATTGAACCCAGGTCCTCTGCAAGAGCAGTCAGTGCTCTTTATTACTGAGCCATCTCTCCATGCCAGTATAAAGTGCAATTTTATACATATAAATAAATACTAATATAAGTAATTATCAGGAGCATGAAAAATTAATCCATTAATTAGTTTAATAGCCATGCCTAAAATCTCTGTTCTTGATTTTTCTTTGAGAATTTCATACATTAGTATTCCTGTGCATTATTTCCATTCCCTCCAGTCTCCCACAAACTTCTCCTGTGTCAGCTAATACTCTCTCAATTTCTTTGTCCTCTTCTTTGATTAATACTGTTACACATACATAGATACATTTATAAATATGCACATACATAGACACAAACAATGCACTGGGTCCACTAAGTGGTGCTCATGCATACTTGCATTTAGGGCTGTCCTCTTGGGATTAGATAACCTCTCAGGGACCTAGTCCCTAAAGATAAATAATTCTTCCTCCCTCAGCATTCATTTATGGCTGCCTTGGCACCCTAGAGGGAGAATTATACCTGACTAGTCTTTTATTAACTTAGGATGGCTTTTAAGATAGTAATGGAGGAAAATCCAGTCTCTGTCCCTGGAGTTTCTGGAAATAACCAAGCAAGAAACCTCTGGAAAATTTGTTTGTTACATTAGGATATTAAGAGCAATTGGTCCTGTGCTTATTTTTTGAAGCTGTTACACCAGAATTTCTGACCTGGGTGAAGACCTAACACTTCAGTTGGGCCAGGTCAATCACCTGGCCACAGGATCACCCCTAAGAAGTCAGGTTCACCCTAAGACATGCTAAAGAGACAGGCAGAATAATTAGTTCTTTAATGAGCTGCTGTAATTTTCCTTCTGAGAATCCCTGCCCCTAGCACTGTAGCTCACCACACTGCAGACATTCAGGTTTGCAAGACTGTCAACTTTTCTGAATTTTTCAGGAAAGGATAACTTCTCTATTTCTTCGTTCTGTCTGTTTCTGAGGCATGCTTTTGGGCTTCAACATCTTTCTCTAAAGCCTCTCTCCCTGCTATGTAGCTGTTAGTTCACCATGTGTCAGACCTCCATGCCACCCTGAGGAGTATGCTTTTCGTTTCCTTCTCTCCTTCATTTTCCCCACAGATGTTGAGATTTACAGTGTGAACAAAAGTTGCCAGAAAAACAGCATCTTAAAGTTGAAAATTGTACAAAGGCTGATCAACTGATTAGAACGTCAGCGATTGTGGAGAGTTTAGAGTATTGTGGCTACAGAGCCTACTTGCCAGTTATCTTGTACCATCTTTAACCCCAAAACTCTTTCTGACTTAACATACTGTGACAACAGATTAAAAACCTTTTGGAATGTATGAACTTAGCAAACTAACAACTTCCACCAACCAAATGGTTGAGAGTCATCAAATAGTACCTGAAATTCTATATATCTGACATTTGTCTTTTGCTGCATCTACCTACTTAATGTTTCCAACAATGTATTTGAGAAGTGTCTTGATTTATGACGTTTCTTTGTTTTATTAGCATAAAATCTCCACGACACTGTTATTACATTGGAACATGGAACTTGGAGTAACATGAATCTATTTCCCAGCCTATGGTCCCTCTTATTTGCTCCAGAATAACATATCTCTTATCCCCTTTGAGGTGAGGGTTATGCTTCCCCATTGACAACATCTTGCCTTCTGTCCTAATTTGCTTTCTATTGCTGTGATAAAAACACTGGAAAAACCAATTTGGTGAAGAAAGAATTTATTTCAATTACAGATTATACTGGTTACCTTTTTTGTGGCTGTGATAAATCACCAAGACCAGAATAACTTATATAGAAGGAAGAGACATGGCAAGAGGCAGTCAGAGCATAAAGATTAGTGCTCCCGTCTCCAAGCATGTGCAGGAAGCAGAGAGAGACTGAAAGTAGAAAAGGGTTGATGAACTCTCAAAGCCGCCTCAGAGTCATAGTTCCTCCAGCAAAGACTCACCTCCTAAAGATTCCATGACATTCCCCAAACTGTGATGCCTACTGACCAGGTGTTCAAATACTTGAGCCTATGGGGTCACCTCTAATCCAAACCATCACACAGGGTATAATGAATCATTAAGGGAAGCCAAGGCAGGAACTGAAGCAGACATGAGGAATGCTGCTCCCCATGGCTTGATCAGCTTCTTTTCTTACAGCCCCAAGCACACCTGCCTAGTTATGGTACTGCACAGAGGGCTGTGCCCTCCTACATCAATTAACAATGAACAAAATGCCTCACAGTCTTGGCCACAGGTCAGTCTAATGGAGGAAATTCCACAGTTGAGGTTCCTTT